GCTATTTGTTTTCTGTGCTTATGTAACAATGTCTCAGTGATGAACAGTCTGTATGGCAGCTTGGCACAGTTGCTCCACAGTTAATCAGTTACAGGCTGTAATAAAAAGGCAAAAACCATCAATATTGATAGAGATACTTTAATGTGGCTGATGTACTCATGTTTGAGTTTAATACATTTTACCACAGTTGGGAACTTCTTTTTGCATTTATCTCAAACCCATGCAGACAGTTTATTGTAAATAAGTTCAGATGATGTGTGTGCATGCAGAGAAACAGAGTGCAGCACTAAGTAAAATAGTGTCTATGTTTAAATGGATCCTAAAAAAAAATCACTATATTATAATCAATGAATTCCTATTAAAACATAACAGTTTGCAAGCTTGATCAGACAAGACGCAGAAGAAAAGTGGTTATACCTCATTATCCATTTTATGGAATGTCAGTTTACTACTAAAGTTGTTTTTTTTATTAAAGTTCTTAAGAGTACATTGCAGTGAATGGTGGGGGAAAGAAAGGAGACTGCAGTGAAGAAAAACATTTAGACACATGAACATGTCCAGGTGCCAGTGTACACGTGAAATACAGTTCATCTTGGTGAATATCTGTTCACGGTCCTTTTATTTTATGACGTCTGTAACAAAAACACTGGTGACTCATTGTTATTGGGGACTTGTGTTAGAGTAGCCTCATGTGGGTCATTACTGTACCTGTCTGCATGTCCTATTACCTGTGCTGTACCTTTATTTCAAGTGAAATATTTACTACTTAATTTCACTCTAAAGTTGAACTAGTGAAGAAAACTGTGTCTAGATATATTTTTAAAGGAGGTCATGGTGTAGTTGTTGTGGATTATTAAAGCTAGAAGCTTGGAGAAATTCTGGAAAAAAACTGGTCTGAAAACAAGATAAAAAAAAAAATCAGAAGACAAAAGATTACAGTTAATTACCGATTTCTGATCTTTATTTTGTTCCGTTTATACTATTCTCCCACAGCGTACTGCTCACAACTTTGAAAATTTAACTAATTTAACAGCTCCAGAATAATCTTGGAAAACAATACTTAGTAATCACTCTTAAGGAAGACATTTGGTCTTTTATTTGGGAAGTTTAATTTGCAGTGACATTCCACAGTTGGTGTTTTGGACAATAATTGTGCCATTTTTTGCAAATATAAAGTGGTTAGGTACTTTATTTTTGTTAATTGCTAAAACAGTATACTATGACTATTAAGCTGTTCTAGATTTAGTATATAGTGTGAATTTGGGACATAAGACACTAGCATTATGCTAGCAACTCTGTTTTTAGGCATAGTAGTGTTATGAGCTAAATCAGCACACTAACATACTGGTGCTTAGCAGGTGTAATAGTTATCAGAATCTTTATTGGCCCAGCATGATTAGACACACAAGGAATTTGACTCAAGTACAGAGGCTGTCAATGTCCTTCATCAAAGCAACAATAAATAAATACAAATAAAATTGATAAAATAACAAATTCTAATAAAAAATAAAACTGCACCCTCTATTCCATACAGTAGTAGAAGTATTAGTGTAAAAAGAGGTTGTAATTTTACATGGGTTATGTGCTGTACTATGCTCATAGGCAGGTTTTGTATGGATTAAGTAAACAAGATACAACAAGCTCATTGGTGAGCTTTAGAGGTTGCTCTTATGGTTACAGATTTTGTTACCCTTAGAGCCAGGCTAACCGTTTCCAGTCTACTTAAATTAAGATAACCAGCTGCTACTTGTAATTTCACATTTACTCTGAGAGCGATGTCAAACCGGTCTCTAAATCTTATCCGAAAGAGTGAGATTTTTTTCCAAAAGAAAGCAATCTGTCACTGCCCTCTCTGGTGTGACAGCTTACCCTGTTGCGCCACTACTGGATGCGATGAAACATGCCACTTTCTCAGTTATATGGTACTTCCACACCACTGCAGCAAGTAAGAAAAAAAATATCCATGACTGCTAAGTTACTTTTAGATAACACTAAGTTATAAAAAACACTAAAAAAAAACCTAAGCATAAGAAAAAAAACACCTTTTTTAATTATTGGTGAGAATCACGATTAACATTTTCTGAGAGACCAATATTTGCCTTTTGTACCAACCTGACCCTAATGAAATCAATAATTTCTTTGCTCAAAAATAGCAATAGCAATTTTATTTATATAGCACCTTGTAATGCTTGTAAGTGCTAAACAAATGCAATATTAAGATCAATTAGCAAAAATAGAGCATTATAAGACACAAATGATGGATAAAAAAAAAAAAACCACAGTAAATTACTCTGAAGGCATTTTCTCATACCAGCAGGCAAGTCATATGATTTAACACAATACAAAATAAGAGACCACATCATGAAGAGATTACAGTCTTATATGCTTGAAGGAATACACAGAGATCTATGTATTCCTTCCTAATAAATAGTTGAATAAGAGCATGAGTGTAAACAGCTACATGTACAAAAAAACAGCTATTAAAAATCAATATGACTAATGGAGGACATGGCTGTCATGCACAAAAGAGTACAGTATTAAAACAGTTTGTTCTGTATGACACGACTTGTCACCATATACGCTGACCAGCCACTTTAGTAGGTAAACCTGTACAATTGTATGCACGTCATTGCAACACTTCTGCTTTAATATCTTTGTTAAAGCACAGACCTACAACTGTACATGTGGACCTAATTAAGTGTATATTGCACCAGATGAGGACAGAAAAAACAAAACATGATCTCAGTTTTGACTGATCCTCGCAGTCAAACCACACGTACAAGCCGTCCTCCATGTACTTTATATGTACAAAAGTGATGTGTAGTTTCATTGTGCTCCTTCGAACGTACCAACAACTTCCTTAGTTTGAGATGGTTAATTTTGCAAAGTTCCCTATCACACCTGACCAATTATCCAAATCGAGCCCAACCCACTAATAAAAGACCCATGACCTGTACGTGTAACTAAAATAAACTGCACAGTCACTTTAAAGAACGTGTAGTTTACATTTTGCTTGTACTGTGATTCTGCTGTACCTATTGTAAATTGGATTTTGAATACTGTACTTTCTTGTATTTTATATATGGTATTTGTACATTTACTTAAGTATAGGACATCATTTCTTTTTCCACCACTGGCAAACTTTTCCCACAGATTCAACTTCATGAATCGATGTAAACTACATCATTTAATATTTTATTTATGCATTACCAACATGTACAGTAACTTTAGCTACCCACATTGCAGTTGTCACTGCTGACAAATTATCCCACTTTACATCCAGCAGGGTTGAGGAAGTTTAATCTGCAGTCAAGGTTTACCAGTCTGTTCTCTAGGTATAATAATCAATAATTGATAAACCAATTTCAACATGAATTCTATATAACCCATGTGGGGCTCCATAAAACTGCCTGTCTTTCAGGTCAACCTGTGTTCTTAGTGTTGAAAATAGAGTGATATAATATAAACATATAGTAAAAAGTTTCTTACAAATCTGCATTAGTGTGGACATGGTCACAGCTCACTCTCTTGACAACATTGCCCTGCACACCGAGCACTGGAAAACTAATTTCCTCCACACAAAACATCTGTATCTTCCTAATGTGTTTGCCACTTGAGGCTCAAAACCTTTTTTTTTCTGGGTCACACTGAAAATCTGGTTCACTATTCCTACAAGAGGAAATTGTGGTTGGGAATAGTTCATTTTTCCAGAACGATGGCATATTCATGCTGATAACCACAATTTGAAATTTAACAGTGTGGTTTTAATGTGTGACAACAACCATGAAACTCACTCAACCCATAAACCTGACAGCCTGTTGGTAGTTTTTAAAATACTGCAATGTTACACCAAGCCAGTAGTTAAATGTTTTTTTAACTATGTAGTTTTTAGAAGAATTATATAAAAACTATGGTATGTGAGGATTACTTGGCAAGCTATTCTTTATTTTTTATCAAAATTTCCTAGACTAACATATTTCAAAACAAAGTTTAATGTAAATCATTAAGATTTGATCTTTTTAAGTACTGTGCTAACACTTTACATACAACTTTGCTACAGAACCGCTCAATTTAAGGGAGTGGAAACCTTCGCTGCCAGAGAACACTAGCAGCCATGTTAGAACTCCCAGATGTACAGTAGCAAAGGCAGAATAGTGTTAAAACGCCTCCTCACACAGCCTCTCAAACAGAAGAATAAATTGACCTTAAAAATAACTTGAGTTTGAGTTTTCATAACCTAGTCTGAATGAACTACTGCCACACATGCACAGAAAACAGATTTATGCTTTATTTACTAAAAACACTAGTCATGTGTTGAGGCACATTTTCTAATAAGATAGCTATACAGTTTGGTTTATTTTACTTGCATTAACAGCTGAATGTTTGTTAGAGCTAAAATGATTAGTTAGTAAATCGATTAGTCAGTGAGCAGAAAATTAACTGCCACTTTTGTTTGAAAGATTACTTGTTTTAATTAGTAGCCCAATTAGTTCCAACTTCTTAATTGTGAGGTTTTAAATGATGAATACAGAACACGTCAGAAGTTCCAATAGACCGTAGAAGATTAATTCAACTTGTTTGTAGAGTGTGAATCATTTATGAGCAGAGCCCATTTCATGGCTGTCACCTGTTTTGACCTCATGTTATAGAGTAATACCAGATCTAACCGAATTATAAGTGAACATTTAAGTTGATTTACTTATTTTGATTCCTACAGTAGTAAGATAGGATGAACAAATTCATTCTGTCAACATTTCATGAAATGATTCATCTATCAGAAAAATTTTGAAACATGAGTGATACTAATATTTATTAATATTTTATTAGGAAATCTGAAAATGTACCTGCCTAAGCTTTTAATAATGACTTTTAACCCTCTCAACCTGACAGGGAAATGAGATTGAGAAAAATAACAGAATTTATATTTCACTGAAAATATATGTAACAGTATGTAACAAAAAAAAAAAAAAAAAAAAAAAAAAAAAAAAAAATAGAACTGGATACAGTGTAAAAAGCCCATGTCAGCACTTTCAACTGGTTTTCTAAGCTTGACTTTACATTAATCTTTTTGTGCGTTACCAGCTGTGCTACCACAAACTGGGATTTCAACAGCATCAGCATGACTTCACTGGGTGTGGAGATTTTGCTCCAAAACAACCCACAAGCGGAAGGACAGTTTGGTAAGCCAAAAACAAAACAAAACAAAAAAAACCCTCAGCTTCCCACAGGTGTTACATGATTATTTTGGTACAATGTGACAAATGTCTTACTTACTGCCCATTGAAACCTCTTGAATTTGTTCTTGCTTCCAACATATGAGTAAATGATTCCCTGTGGTGATTTAACAGCACTTTTTTTGCCTAAATTTTGCCAAGAACCAGCAGCTGCCAGCCACAACACACAACGCCACCTCTTTTGTCGCTTCCTGCGGTCACCAGCCTTCCCATCTCATGACGATTATGTCATGATCCCAGCCTAACTCTGCAACAATTCAGCTGAAACAGAATGAGAGAGAAAAAGCAATAAGATTTAGGAAAAGAAGATAAAGTTAGAAATATGCAAACAGTGCTCAGGTAGGAGCACTGCTGAATATATTATAGGCCTACTGCAACTTCCATAAAATAAATGTTTAAAGCTGCGTTAACTAAGATTTAGCAGATTCAAATAAATCAAGTAAAAAGTTGTCTTGAAGTGTCTTCTGACTGAAAATTTTTTCTTTACTAGAATTCAGATCAATTGACTAATTATACTATGAAAATTGGGAAACAGGTACAGTAGTATACTATATAAAACGGACGATGCCTTTGACATGTAAACTTACAACATTAAAGTAAAATAAAACATGCAGTTCAAATGATACAAACGAAGTTCAATACATGGGTCCTAACAGTCTCCTCTAGCAGGTGTCCCCCTGTGAAGTTCCCACGGTTTAGGAGAGTTACTGTTTCCTAATTATAGTGAAAACACACTTCTATAATTATTGCCTTTGCAAACATAAATACAAGTCTAAAATAAGACTTGTATTTAGTTAACATCTGCGAACAATGTTCAACATCATGGCGGTTTCCAGCTTTCCTTTCAGCCTTTCTGGCTGTTTACTGGCCCAGACTCTTAACATGACACATGGTGCATACAAACATACACACAAAAAGTACCATCAGCGAAAACAAAGAACATTTCGGGCTATAATTTTGACTGAAAATACAGTTGAAATCAGAAGTTTACATACACAGGCTGTAGTCATTAAAACATATTTTTTACCCACTCCACAGATTTCATGTCAAACTTTCGTTTTGGCAAGTCGACATTTACTGTACTTTATGCATGACAAGTACAATTTCCAACAGTTGTTTACAGATAGATTATTTCACAATTCTAGTGGGTCAGAGGTTTACACACACTTAGTTGACTGTGCCTTTAAACACCTTGGAAAATTCCAGAAAATGCTGTCAGTCCTTTAGAAGCTTCTGTTAGGCTAATTGACATCATTTGAGGCAATAGGAGGTGCACCTGTGGATGTAATTTAAGGCCTATCTTCAAACTCAGCACTCTTTGATTTGATTTATTCTTTCAAGCATGTAAAGACAGTTGATATGACAACATGATATGACACATCATTTTACACATAATCCAATATCAATTTGCTTATACCTAGTACATGCTTGAATGGAGTAGGAAGAAGTCAGACTTATCCAGTCCTACCCCATGACATCATCTTACCATCATTGGTTTGCAAGCAGTAAATAATTCTCTTCTACACCACACAAGTAATATACTAAAAAATTATAACTGTTAACATTCTTACATAATTACATTCTTAAATAATTATCTTCTACACCACACAAGTAATATA